TGTTGAGTCAGCCTGGATGATGGCTAGCAAGCCTCTGCTTTTGTCCAGGATAAAAGTGAGCTTTGAGAGAAAACATGTGGAATGCTTCATATCCAGGCTAACTGGGAATAAACTGCTATCTATTGAAAGTGCTATATAATTTATTTTGCATGTGGAATCTCTTAAAAGCAGTATGCTTAATTTTCCTCTGACGTTCCCATCTTGTATTTCCAGGTTGATTGATGCACATCTGTTAACTGAAGGACCTCAAAGGCAATATGTTACAGGAAAAAACTTTGCCATGATTTGGGGGGCCCATGCTAGACACCGCAGATGTAGCCTAATTCCTCACTCTTAATTAAGTTACTCACCAAGTCATCTCCTTCCCATTGACTTAATTACTGCCTGAGTTCAGGTCCTGATTCTCCCCTGCTGGGCTATAAAACTAGCCTCATTTCGGCTTTCCTTCCTCAATTATGTCTTCTTTCAAAAGCGCCTTCCACACTAAATATAGAATTCTCTTTTTAAAACACAGTGACATCTTGTCCCTTTCAGGTAGAAGCATAAGGGAACGGGGCGTCTTTGGAAAAATACAAATCTCGGGTCTGCAATTCACTAGTTTTGTGTTGTTAGATAATTTTTTTCACTTTTTTGTTTCTGCATTTGTTGATTAATAAAATGGGCTAAGAGTGCTTATCTCACAGAGTTTTAGTGTCGATTAAACAAGTAACACACTGTATCTAGTATAGTGCCTGGCCAATTGTAGACACTCAATACTAGTTATGTCTTTTGCTCTTTTGCTTAAAGCATCAGTGGTCATCCATGAAAGATAAAATTCACACTCTGGAACAGATTATACCTTCTCTCACAATCTACCCTAAACTGCCTCTTAGGCTTTCCCTGTTATACTTTCTCTTCTTCCGTATATTTCACTCAAGCTAAATAAATCACTATTGCTGAACACAGAGCATTTTTTTCCCTGATTTCCTGACTTTTTCACAGACTACTCCCTCCAGCTGAAATGTTCTCACCTCCTATCTCCCCTAGTTGGGTTGTATTTATGAGGGTACTACAAAAAGTTCATGGAAAAATAAAATTAAAATATAAATCTTTCCATGAACTTTTTGAAAGCCCCTTATAGTCTTCAAAATCCACCTTAATTATCCCTTCCCTATGGAAAAAAACCAAGGGACAAAATTTTCAGCTAATACCATAACAAGTAAAAATGCATATTTAATATAGAATGAAAGCATATACTTTTATTGGGTGAAAAAATTCAATGTCTATTTTAATGTACTGTTATTAAAATAACTTTTTTTTTTTTTTTTGCCAAGGAATCTTAGAGCTAAGGAACTTTTTAGAAGTCTTAAAGTCACCAATAATGACATTTGAGAAGTGGGGAGGTTGGCTTTTCTTTTGGGTGATGTAAGGAGAGTCCGTTTGGAATGTCTTCAAAATATGTGAAGTTGTCAGACTCCGTTGGGGAGATCTTAGACATCTGACAGTGCTCCTGAGTTTGAAGGAGAGAGAGCAGGATGTGAGCATTAAATCCTAAAATGTGATGGGCAGAGTTAGCAGTCTTCTAAATTAACAATTTTGCTTACAGTGCATCATTTCTTTTTATTTAAACAAATCAGCTTCCTACTCCTGCAAGTTTTTTTTTTTTTTTTTTCCTTTTTGTCTTTTTTCGTGTCCGGCTACAGATCGCAACCCTCAGAGTCGCGCCCGTACCGGACCGGGACCGGCAACGGGATCGCAACCCTCGGTGTTGCTCCCGCACCTCGCTCAGCCAGTGAGCGGCCGGTCTGTATGTGGGATCCGAACCCTCGACGGGAGCGCCGCCGCGCTTCCCAAGCGGCGCACTGTAGCAGTGCGCCACTGGGCCGGCCCCTACTCCTGCAAGTTTGACTCCGCTTTCAGTCATAAAGCCTGCCACAGAGCTCTTGCCTAAATGGCAATATTCTAAATCAAGGCATGGTCCCCATGAGTTTATCAATTTGGTTTTTCTTGGATTTAGATTCAAATTCCTAGCCTAATCTACCATAAATTATGGGAGTTTTAAAGTAAATTTTAATTGAGAAGGTAAAATATTAAAAGTGCAGTAGTTCAGACATTCAAGTTACCAAAAGAGATATAAAATAATATAAACATTTAACATGTCCAGGCATTGTTTCTTCTTTTTTCTATTTTCTTTGCCTCCCTCCCTCCGTCTCTCTCTCTCTCTCTCCCTCAACCCCTCCTTCACCTTCTCCCCCTCTCTTTCTCTCTTTTTATTTTTGTCCTGTTTGCAAACTCAAGGTAAAGGAGCCGCTAAGAAGTAAATATCCAAATGTTAAATAGAAACATCCTTAGAAGCTTCTATATACTGTCAGTATCTTACTTGCAGAATGGTTTCATTTAGACTCGACATGAAGTAAGATACAAGTAAGATATCATTGGTATGATACACTTTTAGCTTTTAAAATACTCAACAAAAATATGAAATTATTTCTGCAGTGGTTATTGGTAATTTTTGTTTTATACATATAGTTTCATCCTGGTCTTGAAGAAATTTCACAGCTCTTTGTATTGTAAAAGCAATTTATATCTATGGCATTAAAAATCATGTTTTACTCTATTTTTTTCTCTCACATATTTCAGAATTTCTTATTTTCAATAGTAAATCATCAAAGATTCCTACTGGTAAAATATAGCCCTTGTTTGCACACAGAAACAAAGAAACTAGAACTTTAATTTATCCCATGCAGGTTAAATAAGTGTATACTTTTTGTTAGACATTATGGAGTATATCATTACCCTCATTTTTACCTTCATAGATTCATAGCTTTCTGAGATAGGCATATTGGAAGTAATGTAAAATAAATCTGAGAAAAGTAAATTTAAAATAAAAATTTAATGAATGAGTTTTTAACCATTGTTATAACATAGTATATTGTTCACTGCCACTGCTTTAGTATCACAATAGGACATAGCCTGTGAGCTCAAAATCTCACACTGAGCATTTGATCAGATTTCTTTAAATAGTGGCTGTCACTAGTACTAATCAAATTTCTGTGAGTAGTCTTACAAAACAGTCAATTTATAACAAAAAATGCCAGTGAAAAGAAGATTATCTTTTTAAGTGTTTTGCATTATCTTGAATCTAGGCAGCTGGGATACCCCTTTTATTTTTTTTTCTTGCAAAATGAAGAGGTGTCTTAGATGTTTGTTTTGACTGCCTGTCCAAAATTGGATAGCTCTTTAACATGGCATTTTATCAAGACAAAGACCAGCAGCATTCGTTTTATGACCAGTTTGTGTGCTGGGCAGCACTGCTCACTTCTCCCAGTCTTAAGGGCCTGGACTCTATTTAATGTGACAGCGCTCCTAAAAATAGGATCAGAGCGCCTTGTGTTTATATCGACTGCAGCTCACCTCCACCAGGCATTGGAAATAACTGTATAATGGTGTAAGGTGATAAAAAATCTTTATGCGAAAGGTTTTCTATCTGGGTCTTGGAGAACTGCTTGGACTTTGAAAACTGAAAAAAAGGTAGGAGAAGGCATTTTAGATGGAGAATAGAGATTAACCAAAGGCCAGGAGGTGGTGAAGACCAGGGCTTGTTCCAGAAAAGGTGAATAATCCAGTGTGATGCAACAGGAAAGATACCCAAAGGGGAGTGATGTGACTTGTACTGTGAAGGTCGTACTGGGAGGGTTTTGAATTCCAGAAGGAGCCATTTGAATTTTGTTTTATGTGTCATGAGAAGTGATATGGCCAAATCTGTGTTTCAGAAGATGTTTATGGCTGTTCAGAGGATGGAATAAAGAAAGGAGACTGGAAAGAGGGAGGGAAAGTCACATGAACTGGCAAACAATGACAGCATATACTAGTGCAGGGTAATAAAAATGAGCAGGTGATATGCCAACTACAGACACTGAGTGTGGAAGAAGGATTGACAGAATTTGGTGATGGAATGAGGAAGGGGTGAGAGATTCCTGAAGGTGATGGTGGTGACGATGGTGATGATGTAGTTGATTAAACTGTACTCCTTTCCTAAGCTTCTCTTATAATATGACCTGCTAAATCATGGAATACAGCATAAGGTAGAGCCAATCTGAACTCTGTCCAATCGAAATTCAAGAATAATCCCTTTTCCACCTGATCTAAATATTGCTCCTTACCATTGCTGTGTGTCTGATGACTCAGCCAGCTCGTAGTGAGAATAGCCATAGTTTACGGCGTGTGGATGACAGGTTATTGAATAAGATACGGAGCACAGGTGCATGAGGAGACATTGCTTTACAGGATATACAGGAATATACAACATCTTAATTATTTTTCTGCTGTCTATAGGTAATCTCTATAGAGGAGTCGTATTTTTCTATTTAAGTGACACTTAAGACTTTAGTGATTTAGGAAACGTCCTCTGGTCAGTGGGTGGCAGTGTTGCGTAGTGGAAAGAGTGTAGGTTGTGTAGTCAGAAGAGTTGTGGGTAATCCCTGCGAATGTGACTGCCCCTTAATTCCTGGGTTCCCAAACCTGGATTATCAGATTATTGCCAGAATCACCTGGCATTTCCTTTTAATATAGATTTTCATACTCTATCCCTTGGAGATTCTAACTCAGTTATTCTGGTATGGGGGCCCCAAAATAGGGGTGTGGGTATGTTTTAACAATGTAGGTATTTTTGAGAGTTAGCTAAATTTTGGAAATAGTGACTTAATCTTTCTGAGTCTCAACTTTCATAAGATTGCATCGAACATTAAATAAGAAAATACATCTGAGTTTTGTAACCTTAAAACACAATAAAATATCAGTTGTTAATTAGATTACTTCTTAAAATAACTTTTTCATCCTTTTAAAAAAGATTTCATCAATTTCTCACCGATTTGAAGCTTGACTACACGAGATTATATTACATTTAATTTTTATGCATTGTGGTAGCAGAAAGAAAACTGATGAATCCTGATCAATTTAATACATGTAGTATTAATTGGGTAATAGTTTTGGTTGTTGAGGAGATGATAGGATGAAGATTCTTGCTTGAATTTTTTATTTTTTTAAAAAATTTGAGTAATAAATGCCAGTTTTTAAAGTAGCAAGGAAGTGTAAACAGAAATTACTTCTATATATTTTTAATATAAAACATTTATTATTGGCACTGATAATTTAATTTACAAACGTATTCTGACTTCCTGGTTTTAAGTGCAACACCTTAAATTAAATACGTTGTTCTCTTCAAGCCTAAAACAAACAAACACCACCAAAATCTTTGTGTCTGTAACAACAATGGCAACTTTGAAACACATCCTTTCCAGATAGTCTTCTAAGTTAATGAAATTTCAGCAGCTCAATACAATCTACATATCCCAAATAATATGCAGCCTAAAGGCCAGTTGACCTTGAAGCTTATAGCATGCTGTCATCAGTCTCATAACGTCTGTTCAGCTTGTGTTTAACTAGAAGTGCCTGGCCTTCTCGGTTCTAAGGGCTTTCTAACGCAGAGGTCCACTGTATTGGTGACAGTATCATGGTAGCTCCTTCCTTCTACAGTCTCTCAAGTTTTACTTTGCTTTTGCTTCTTCGACCCTGAGCCTGGATGACTTCCACAGTAGTCCATTCTGGGTCATTTCTTCTTTCCCTGGGCCTGTCGCGTCACCCAAAAAGGCCAAGTTGTCCCCCGGAGAGCCATGCTGGCACCTTCCTTCTGTTCTTCATACCACATCTATTACTTCTCTTCAGCCAGGAACCAGTCACTTTAGGCCATTAGCCTGAAGTTCGTTTAGAAGATTTAAGTAAATATCTGACTTGAGGAACCTCGGATAAGAGTCCTTTTCCATAAGAGTATATATGACTTTTTGGGCTTCATCAAAACACGTGGGGGTTGGTGCTCTGATCTTCTTGGCTGTAGATTCCCGAGTGCGAAAGTCAATATTGATCTAAAAAGAAATTCTCAGTTAGTATACACGCCTCATTTATTGCAAATTGCATGATGTTACTGTGTTTTCTGGAGCACCTCAAGAAAGTGGCTTTGAGTCCTCTTTTAAATCCGTTCAAATCTATCTTGAATGCTTTTTCCAAATCAGTCTTATACTAGGTATGGAGGAGATGAAAGAAATATCACAACAAATTCTTTGTTCCAAGTTTGCTCATGGTATACTTAGGAGATGCAAAAGAGGCAGACATGAAAAATTAAGTATCCCTACGAGGTGGTACATATATCAAAAAGAGTGATGTGGACATTTAGGATTTATAGGAGAAGACTTTTTGTGCAACTATTTTATGCTTGGACCAGGAATATTTATCTGGAAGCTTGTACTATTGCTAGTTGGAAGTATTTTTGCTGCTGCAATTGTATATATTACACTAATCTGCAAGTTATCCTTATCCAAGAAGAGGAAGCTCATTAAGGACCCCCTGACATGCAGTTCTGGCCAGTAACACCCGTACTACTTCCCGACCCCCATCATAGTAGCTAGTTTTGCAAAATCAATCTTTTTACTCTGTTGCACTGAAATCTTCACAAATGTAGAAAACTAGATTCTTTTTGCACTGAACTATATGAATATACCTAAATATATAGAAGTGCAATCATGAAACCCAAAAAAGGATTTCATCTTGTTATACATGTTACATGTTATTTCTGTATCTAAGTTCGTTTACACATAACCTGATGATGATAAAGTTAGTACTCACTTGTTTAGCAGCATCTGAATGCACATATGCTTTATATATCTTCTCTGCTTTGCAGTGCAAAAACTCAGCCTCTGTTTTCTTGTAGTCTTCACAAGCCAGCCAGAATTCAATATTCTCCTCACTGAACTCAGACTTTAAGAAATTTCCAAAGACATCTTGACCCGCTAAAAAGAAGGGGTGGGGGTGGGGATGGAGACGATTAAATTATTCAAGCCAATATATGAACTTGAGGAAGAAATTTGTAAAAAAAAAATACTACTGCATTCTCTGTGCAAAGGAAAGAGCTGATTCCTGTTAAAATAACTGTGTCCTTGTTTGTAGAGATGGGAAGGCCTTAGATATTTTATTTATAGAAGAGAAACCTGGAGCCAGACAAACGTGTCCACAGTCACAGAGCTGCTTAGTGGTGGCTGCAGAACTGTGCTTTTCTCCTATCTGCTATTTGAATTGAAATTCTGCTCTGCTGATTATTAAACAATCTCTTTTTGTATACATAACAACCCTTAGCTAGAGTGTAGATTATTTTAGGGAAGCAAGCATTGATAAAGGGCATTAGTATCATGTTAATAATTAACAAATATAATTTCCCTATCCAATTCACATAAGTCAGAAAATGTTAGGCCTATACATTACCTATGTGCCTGATGTACTGATTATATTTGCTAGTGTTACTGAGACGTTTATATGGGCCATTTCTATGCCATTTCTTTGTTTGGCTGAATTGGAACCTAAGTCAGATAAGAAGATACATGAACTGAGTTGAACTACCTGATTCCCAAGCAAGGCTCCTTAGGGTTTTTGTGGAGAGAAGAGGATAAACTCAGCCTCTAGGTAGAGGCCAAGCTGTTTGTCTACACCTCTGAAGAAGGTCCCAACTCCAGTAGAATTTCAATGCCCGTGACAAAGGTAAGGCAAGCTGATTTCATTCTTTACCTTCTCTTATCAGGAAATCCCCACAAGGCTGTGTGTCTAAAAACCCTTTATCATGTCTGTGTTGCAACATGTATCATATATCATGTTATGTATAATGCAATTATTTATGTGTGTCTCAACGCTTTCAAGTCAGTAAGGAACTGTGTCTTTGATTTTGCATCCTTGATGCCTCTAAAACGCCTGCCAGATTAAGGTGGGATGAATGAGAGAGTATAAATGGCTAAATGATAAAATAATTAATTGAATGAATAAATCCTACTCTTTATATCCAACTGCACAAAAATACATTCTTTAGGCAGCTTTCACAATGGCAATTCACATGTTGATATACATGGTTTACTTTTTAAAACTTTAACCTTCAGAGTCCCAGCATAATTTTTAATTTTGTTCCTATTTCATGGAAACACCTAATTGTTTAAAAGACAGTGGCAGAACTGAGTGTTCAGTCAGCATTCTATTACAAAGAGGCATACTATGCTGAAGTTATCAGTGACCACAGAAAAAACTAGAATATACCTTTTGCATTCTACCATATCCAGAATACTATATTTTAATGAAGCCATTTAATCTATTAGAAAATTGAGCTGAACCCAGAAACATTCAGTAGTTAATTTATACTTACTTTGGTTGGCAAGAAGTTTTTCCAGAGATTGAGACCACTGCATTACTTCATCAGCAGAAAGTCTGCCAGGGGGAAAATTTACATAAATTATAAAAATACTTTTCGTGTAAGCACAAAAGAAATAAGAATGGCTGCTGCATTTGATAACTTCACAATCTAAGACTATAGTTCTAATAAATTTATTAAAATTTATCTATAACCAAATTTTCCCTTACAATATCATAGTTATGACAAAAATCTGCCAATAAACTTTGAAAAAAATCCAAATAAATAAAATGGGGCAGTGCAAAAATAAATAGCAGATATATGTACGCACATGTTTGTATTTAATTTATATTGGTACTAATGTAGTATAATCGTATTTGGCATGTTATTTAAAAGAAATGAAGTCTGTTATGTGTACTATTATTCTCTTGCTAGGATATAGAGCTAATGCATAAGCTGCTCTTATAAATAAAAATGATAGTTCAACGTACGTGTCCTTGGACTTGGAAGATTTCATTCCAGATTCCAGATGTGGGATCATAGATCTCAGGTATGCTTTCATGTCCACTCCACTACAAAAGACACCAAAGTGAATTTCATATTCTTCAATAGAATTCATTTTATTTGTAAAGAGAAGAGAGCATGGAATAAACTTCTTCAAGAAATAAGGCAATAATAAAAATCGTTGATTCAACATTTTGCTTTTTAAAGATAGAGCCCATTTTTATGAGTCAAGGTTTGGAAAAATTTCCACCTAATTTAATGCTGTATCGTAATTTAATTTTTAATAAAATTGAATGTTACTTATAACTCCCAACAAGTAATTGTTCTGTTCTGGCTAAACTAAATGCTTATATTCTCTTCCATTCATTTTCAATCCTTCTGCCATGAAAGACAATCTAAGTTAAAATTCACAAAGAGAGACACTAAAAGAACTTACAAAGTCCTTGGCCTCCTTTTTTGCGTTTTGTCCTCTAGAAGTGAATGACCAGTTCCTTTCAATTCCTGTGGGTTAGCAGAGAAGAACATTCCTGGCATTTTATCTAACCTTGGCATGGAGATGGCTGCTGTTCGCATGGTCCTTTCCCAGCAGATGTGAGCTAGTCAACATCTCTGCCGCTTTATATAGTGAAGGCAGACAGGCACTTGCTGTTCAAAGGAGTCTGTTTATCAAGTGATGTTACCACAGACGCTGGAAGTTCCCCCTTTCTTGGTGTGTGGTGACGTGTATCTTGAAAAAAAAAAAGCATAAGTGATGTCTTGTGGTTGAAAGTTAACCAAACAAGAACAGGTCACTTGATTAGGAAGAAAGAAAGAAAATTAAACATACAGAGGCACACACACGTATGCCACATGTCTAAAGCACTGGCAGCATCAGTCTTTGGCTGTAGGAGAGGCTTGTTTCTTCTTAAAAATTGTATATTCTTATAAAATGTTTCATTTGATGTAGTTATTGCATTACACAGAAACTCCAGCATTAGAATTGTGTCTCTTTCAATGTTTTGGACAGTCCTTGACTATAAAAATTCATCTGATCACAATATTTTAAAAGATGTTATTTTTAGGAAGTAATGTAAACAAATACCTTTTGTTTTTTTACTTTTGTGCATCTCTGGTGGGAAGGAGGTTATGAAAGATTCTCTTCACTTTTTCCTACTATGACTCTCATCCCTTATTTCCATGGCAGGAAGTTTCCATGTTAGTGTTTTCCAAGGTTTGTGCTAGACATTTTACTGGTGATACATAAGATGATTTTAAGGGGTACATGGCTTTTAATATTATTTTAATATTTATTAAGAATATAACTAATATATCAAAATGGGTTTGGTTTTTTTTTTGCATATTCCTTCTTAGGAAATGAATGAAGTAAAATTAAAACAAACCTATAAATAAAGCTATACTTTTATTTAAATATAGTTAACACACAAAAATGACATAACATGTAAATATACTGATTCTAAAGAATTACCCAGTAACAGAGGAAAAACTGTTCAAGGTAAAATAAGGGTATACAAAAGATAGACCAATCATGTGTACTTCTTAGGTATGATATTCCAAATTTTGGCCGTATCTCTGGAGAGACATAATCTAGCTTTAATTTATATTAAAATTTAAAAAGTAAAAAACTCCAAGGAATTAGATGACTAATCACTTATCACAGTGGAAGAGTTAGTACAATATAAGTTCTTATAAAGTTTATATAGAGTGTGGCTTATTTATAGAATGTCTTATTTAACTTAAACTTCCTTTGGATTTTGCCCCACACAGGACAACAGCTTTTACTTAGGCTTCTGATGGTATCAGGTAAAGCTGATACGAGGGAAGACAGTATTAATTTTCCTGCCCTCGTTCTATCACCAGGATAAAGGATATTTGAAGGAAAAGCTTTCACAGTGTTATAAAATTCACTTACTACGAAGCCATGCACACACATTACATTGTGTGTAACAAGCATCATTTGATGTTAAGAAGATAACACGATGCACTAAGAAAGAGAACTAGTGAGATGTGCTGGCCACTTTGGAAGTGGCCCAAACAGAACAGATGGGACTCAAAGAGTGATGACCTAAAGGCATTTGTTTGTATGTTTCCTGTGGTTCAGTCCGTACTTACTTTCCTGTTAAAATCTTCAGCGTTGCTTAGTGTGTTTATCTAGTAACCTCTCACTCCTCTAGATAATTGTGAATAGGTTATGTCAGAGAAAAATGATTCAAAGGTTATCTTTAATGGCCTATTATTATCGCACAAATATACTGACAATTTCCAAAGTACATTTCTGTGACAATAGTTCCTTTGGATGTTAATAAGCATTAAAAGAACAATACAGCATCAAAGTTGATAGGGCCAAATAAATTTGGGAAATGTTAGATTCCTAACTTTTTAAAGAACTATAGATAGAGAAAATGGTTTTCAGAAATAATGTTCTTTTGACACCACATTATGAAACTCTGGTCTGAGATCAAAATAAATATTTGCCTCTTAGGAATTAAGAAATTGCTTTAAACCTCCCAGCATTTTGCTACCCCAATACTGACTTTCAAGCTCAAGCATTTGCAAGCTCCAAGCTCAAATGGAGAAACTACTGAAAGAGGGGGTCCCTCTGAGATTCCTGTATCTCTGGACTGACTGTTAAGCCATCTTAGTAGCATGGTAATGTAGGTGCGCTCTTTAAGGCTGCTTTCTAGCCTATGCAAAGTCTGTATATGCCTGAGCAAGGCAAATGTGGCCAAGTTCTATTAGTAAGGGCTGGTGGCTCCATGGCAGGGCTCACTGAAACTTCCTTCTCAAACAGAGTGTCACTGTCTGGCCCCTCTGTGTGAAATTCATTAAGAAAAGACAAAATAGTAATCAGCAGTTTTATTGAATCAATGAATATGGTTGAAATTGTAGAGGATTTTTAAAAAGCCAGTAGAAGAAACAATGGCTCTCAGAATCTTGTTTTTATTTTTCCTCTGGGAAACTGTGCTTAAGTAACTAGGTTAGAGTCCTAAGAAAAGACTAACTTCATGTAATCTTGGTTTTATCTTTTTTTTTTAATTGACTATTTTTAGAGCGGTTTTAGGCAAGGTGAAGTTAGGTGGGAAGTCAGAGTTTCCACACATTTCTCACACCCTGCCCCCACCTCAACCACCATCGCTGTGCCTCATCAGTGTGGGGTATTCGTTAAAACCTATGAAACGATGTTGACGCATCACTATCATCCAAAGCCCATAGTTTACATTAGGGCTCACTCTGGGTGCTTTGCATTCCATGGATTTTTGACAAATGTTTAATGACATGTATCCACCATTATAATATCATATAGAATAGTTTCCCTGCCCTAAAAATCCTGGTATTACATTTTTAAATATCTAGGAGATTACCTCAGTAAAACATTTTAGATTATCACTATTAATTTTGATGGAGGAAGTGAGGAAAATTTTAATCTTTGCTGAACTGATTTTACATTTGAGTTCCAATCACTCCAACTACTTGAATTACTTTGCTGAATGCTATTTTCAACCTTGATATTGATTAAACTGAAAATGAGTCTTCATAATATTGCTGAAATTTTGTCATGGATATCAAGAATTGTGTGACAAGGGACAGTGATGAGTGTGAGATTGTATCTTGAAAATAAAAAAAAAATCTACACTGGAAGAGTCGGTGACATGAACAGAAATCTTGATCCATTGAAACAAAATGTTTTGATTCAATAAACTTTAGTAGCATTCCTGCAATGTATCAGACATAAGGTACTACAAATACAAAGATGAATGGACTTCTGTCCTAAGTGGTTCGCAGTGTAGCAGGGTAGATAGATACTTGGGAGAAGTGCCATCTGAGAGGATGTACAGAGGAAGGAACACAGAAGGAGCAATCAACTCTGGAAGTATGCAAAAGGAAGCAAAGTGCTGCTGCATTTACTACAAAGTCAACGTGTGTCTGTTCTTTGTCTGTTTCAGCACCCCTTGGAAAGTACAAAAGGCCACAATGGAGAAAGTGGTCTCCAGCAACTAGACACATCTTACACATTTAAAAATCATAGAAGAATGGATCTTTCATGTGAACACGAAGCTTTGCAGACTTTGAAAGAGGCCTGAAAGATTTTGTTGAATTAGCATAACCACTCAGTGGTTAGGGAATTAAGATTATCTGGGTCTTTTTTGGCTTCTGCAGCCTCCAGGGTCTTCAAAGTTTATAGGTCGGGCTACCAATAGTGTTCCAGGTAAATTTCATAGTTTATTTGAAAAAGCTTCAACAAGGTGAGTTTGGGAGGATTTTTCTCTATGTGTGTGTAGAGAGTTGGTAAGAATATTGATGCCTACTTTGTATTGTTTATGAATGAAAAGATTAAACAGTTTAAATTTGCTTATGATTTCATTTTCTAAATGAAGAAATCTGCTGATAGGTTTTGATAAGTGCAGATATCTGCAACTTGATGAAATTCAATGATCTCAGTAAATGTAACTGAGCAAGATAAGAATCTAGTTTCTTTTTCTCACCCCGCTCTCATCTACTTACAGTCAACATTAAGTACCTCCTTTCTATAATTTGAGAGTTTATAGGAAAATTGAATGTGGGACCTTTAGTGAACTGGGCTTGTTATTATTTAAGCCTCATTCACACTGGATCTCATCTTTCCAATTAAGTTCACATTAATAGGTCCATTTTCCAAGTCATTCTTGAAAATAATAAAGGAGACTTTGATATTATCTCTGATATACTTACTCCACATTGGATTAATTTTCATTTATTATCTCCCCATCATTTATAATCCTCTTAAGAAGGGAAAGTAATCACGTCTGACTCTATTTTGCTGTGCTTTGAAAATAAAATTTAGCAAGTGCTGAAGCAAGTTCCTTGTTCCCAATTTCAAATAAATAGAGAACTATGCTATAAGAACATTATTTGGAGTTGAGATGAAATGTTCTGTCACACATGACATAAGTGGTACAGCAAAGGTGCTCAAACGTCAGCATGTGGAGGTGACTTGTAAAGGAAAATACATCTTAAATATTGGAGAGTGACTTCAGTGAATGACTGTTAACTTTTCCACTTTCTAACAACACTATTTCAATAATTTGCCTTTGCTCTTAATAAATATTGAAGTGGTTAGCAACTGTGATTTCTTGTCTTTGTTTTTCCCTGTTAAATAGGTGATTTTCTTAGAAAAATACATTAAGGTTGCCTGATATTCTCCATTTTTTCTAAAGCCATGCCACTTATTGCTCATGAGTATGTTAACTGCACTTCTTTATGCCCTTTCTAATGCTTTGCTTTTATGTCTATGTGTGTGTGTGTGTGTGTGTGTGTGTGTGTGTTTTAAATTAAGTATTGATGTCAGACCTACTGGACATTTAGTTCTAGTTAAACTCTTCCTACTTGAGAAAGTAGCTTCAAGTCAACAGATAGTGGCCACTAGCATGATTCTACGGTTGCTGTGAGTGCAAGTGGGCTGTGGCATTCCACTGTTTCCTGTGCCTGCTCTGCCCTTTTCCATTAAGCATGACTTATTATCCTATTTTTCTTTTACTTTTTAAATAAAGTCTTTGAGCCTATTGAATTCTACTGACATGCTAATCTTGCTGCATTTCAAAAGACTGTGAATTCA